GTCCTTCCACATCAGAGCTATGGGGGAGCCAGGAGGGACTGGATTCTCTGCATTCAGCAGGGCCAGGAAGGAATGGTGGAAACAGTCCCCAGCCAACAAGGAGGCACAGGGCGCTCTGGTCTGTACGGAGACCCAGCCCCAGGGACCACCAGTCTGGACCCAATTTTCCCCATGGTTTCCGGGCCATTGTTCTTCCTGAGGAACTCTAAGCCCAAAGTGAGGAGCATGAGCGACTTTGCCAGCCTCCTACCTTATCCCTCTGACCCGGCCTCCCTTGCTGGGTCTGGGGGCCTATGTGGCTGGGAAAGGGTCTCAGGTCTCTCAGTCAAGCAGGCGCAGGGCAGAGCAGAGGCGGTTAGGAGGGCACCCACAGTCACCTTGCACTTCTCTTGCCCCACCCCCACAGGTCTGCGAGACCAAATCTGTCTTGATGGCTCGCTGCTGGAGCCGAGAGCCTGTAACAGGGACCGGCACACTGCAAGCACTTGGGAAAATAAACATTTTGGCTGAACAAATAGCATGCAGTAAGGAGGAGGCTACACTCCACCTTCTGCCTCTGACCCTGAACCAGAAGAGCAAGATCAGGGCCGGGGCTGGGTCAAACCAGAAAGCGGAAGAGCCAGACGGTGGCGAAGGAGCCCAGTTCTAGAGCCAGCTGGGCCTGGGCCCTGACCGGGCGCTGGCCCCTGGAGGGCGTGTCAGCTGACCACCCTGAGTCTGGGCTTCCTCGGTGTTGAAATGCAGATGACACCCCCTACTTCATATTCTTGGGGTGAGAATAAATGAGAATAAAATGTGTAAGATTGGCACACAGTCAGTGCGCCCCTCCCTAGATGCTCTTCAGCATGGCTGCCACCTCTGCAGTGGAGGCAGTTGTTTGATCTGTGGTCGGGAACTGAATGCTGCACCCCCTGGGGCTGGGGTTGTGTATTTCAGGAGAGCAGCCTGGAAAAGGCAGTGCCTGAGCCACGGGGTGGGGGTGGAATGAAGCATTGGTGGTGAAAAGTCTAGACAGCGACAGGCCCCAGGGATCCGGTGGGAAGTCTCATCCTGCACCTTCTAGCACATCCACTGGAGGCCAGGAGGAAGGTCACTTCAGTGTTGTCTCTGCTTTGGGGATTAGGATGAAAAGAGATACATAGCAGGCAATTTGGAAAAAGAATTTTATTAGCTTCATGAGAAACAGCTGCCACGAGTCAAGACCAGATGGAGACAGAGCTCTGGTGGCTCCCAACCCATGGCCTGCAAAAGGCCCCCTGTCCTCCTTACGTTCTCAACCAGGGTCTTAGTTGGGGTCCCCACCTCCTTACCCTCCTCACCGCAGGCACAGATTCAGGCAATGCATTCTTATTAGACATTGGAGTCTCCTGCTCTGTGGGTTATCTCACTGAACAGGAAAATGAATCAAATCAACATCCTGGACTTTCAGATCAGGACTGATCCGGCATGGGAGCTGCTGTTCTGGATCAGCAACCGGGAGCACAACATTCTGGTTGTGCCGCCAATTAGAAAGTCAACTTCTGGAGAGCCAGCCAGCATTCTAAAATGCAAAATAAGAACCCCCAACTCTCTAGATGATTTCATCAAGAGTTCCACGTTCTAGAACACCTGTAATCAAAGTCAACATTCCAAAAATCCGACATTCTAGGTGGTCCACCAGGAACCCGGTGTTCTGATATGCCAACTGAGAACCACTCCTAACATTCTGGATGGCTAGCCAGGCATTCAGCATTCTAGAATAACAAAAAGACCACAGTGTTCCAGATAATGGATGAGAGACGCAAAGTTCTAAATGTCAACCCTGACACTCTTGACACCGAACCAGAAACCCAGCGTTTGAGGCTGTCAGCCCTGGCCTCGGCATCCTGAAATGCTCAGCACAGAACTCTGCCCTCCACAGTGCTGCTGCCCACCCCTCAGAGCTCTGTGGACGGCCCCACAGCAGGCCTGTTACCCTGGTGGGGCTTGGGCACACGGAAGGAAACGTAGGGACAGGTCTTGGTGTTGAGGCAGACCAGCTTTTTCAGCGTGGCAGTCTTGACAATGTTGAAGCCCATCTCGCCCCCAAATGTGCTCGGCTTCCAGTACTCCGGAGAGCAGATGGGGTTCCCCAGGAGGCCCTTGAGGGAAAAGGGGGCCCCGATTTCTATCATACTCTCCCCAAAGATGGAGTTCGGATGGCATTTCTCGAGAAGCAGCCCCGGGTAGAACTCCAAAGCATCAATGTCTCCATATAGCTCCTCCAGTTCAGCTGCCATCTCCTTCTCTCCTACAAGGGAGGGAAGCTACAGTCAGAGTCGGTGCCATTAAGGTGAATCTGGGATGGAACCTTCTAGGCCCCTTTTCTGAGAAGAATAAGTGACTTCAGAAGAGCAATTAGAGCAACTGAGAAGCACATGCCCTACAATCTGGCCTGGCCGATCAACCCCTCTCTAGGGCCACCTCCAGGGACGGAATTCACCACTGAAGGAATCAAGGGCCTGGGTCTACCACCAAAAACCGTGTGACACTGAGCAGCTCATCTCACTTCTCTGCCCCAACTACCTGGTCATTACAGCACAGAGAAGCCACCCATCTTGCACCCTTGTAGGCACATTTCAAGGTTGTATGCTGGTCCAAACACCTTCATTCTGCTGGAGCTCAGAGATGTCATGTCACTTGCCCAAGCTCACACAGAGATTTGTTACAATGTTCTTTTCCCTTCTGGCCTGTCACCAGAGATTGAAGAGTGACCAGGATTGCTGTTCGAGGATTATGGGGAACTCACTCCCTCCTCTGTGAGCCCCCTATGTTCACAGACAGTGACCAAGGGGAGACAGACATTGAGCTTCCCAACCACATCCTCAAATCCGCCCTCCGTAGTGCACTAGCACAGTCACGGATCATGTCACACCCCGACTGAAAACTTCCTGTTGTCACAAGGGTTCCCGAACTCTTGGCTAACAGCAGAGGATCCATGTAATAAAATAATCAGACTAAATTATAATTGTATTATGTTATAATTATAGTATCTATAATATACTGACTTTAATACATTATAATATATATTTATATAAAATACACATACATACAGATTCTTGGGTACCACCCAGGCCTACTGCACCAGAATCTCTGAGAGAGATATCTGGGATTTGGTATTTTTAATAATTTTTCTAAATGATTCTTAGGCTGCTGATTTATAAATAGGTATTTAGGAACTACTAGACAGAATAAAACGCAAAACCTTTAGCACTGAATCCAAAATTCTAACATTTTGGTCCTATCCCTTCATGACTAACTCGTCCCCCCAACATGGACAACATAAGCGCCTTGTGCTGACCACACCTACAACTTACCCCCAGTCATTCTTTGTGACCTCTGTGCCTTTGTACTTTCTGTTCCTCAACCTAGAATGCGGTTCCCACTATTCTCCACTCAGAAAATCCTTATTTATTCGTCAAACCCATCTTCTCTTGCCAAGCAGCCTATGTGCCAACCCTCGCCACCCCCAGCACGCACGCCTTATAACTTCCACAGCCACAGTGCTGGTCACATGTGTGGCCCCACTGTGCTCCTGCAGCGTCTCCCTCACTTGCTTACAAGTCCCTCAAGGGCAGGAAAGCAGCTGCTCACCTGTGAGCTCCTGGAAGGAGGTGTAGGGTTTCAGGCCGAACCTCTTGCGGTACTCATTGAAGGGTTGCAATCGCAGCTCTCGCGATTCCTTGATGACTTCCACAGCCACATGCAGTACATGGTGGTCCATGTTCCTACCCCCACCGACCTGCCAGGAGGTAAACACACGTGTGGTCTGAGGGCCAGGCCACACTGTCTTGGGGAAGCACTTCAGGTCAGGAGTCCTTTCTGCGCGAGGACCAAGAGCACGGCTCAGCCTAGCAGCCATGGTGCTGGGCACCCAGTCCTAGTCTGCCTCTGTCCTGCTCCCTCAGGGACCCTCTCTGAGACTCAACTTCCTCATCTTTAAAGTGTGGAGTGGGCCAGAAGGATCTCTCTAATGGCTCACCAGCCACACTGTCCCCCAATTCTTTGAATTTAGGTGACAACCCCCAACATCCTGTTAAGGAAGGTTCTAGAACTATTAGGTTCAGCAATGAGGCCTCTGCAAAGGAGATGGCCAGCATGGCCATGGCCAAGAGCTGAAGCAGAAGGAAAGGGCATTCCAGCTCTGGAAATGAAATTTGGAGGGGCAGAAGGGTTTGTGAAGCAGCAAATGATAGAATCCAAAGAATGGACAAATATTAGTTCTGGGGGCCAAAACTTATGGCTTTCCTGAGAGATTTTTTAAATTATGCCTGACAGAACTGACATGCATCTGCCATTCTCTCCAAGTCAGTTCTTATCAGAGAACAGAGATGTTTAATCTTCTAAGGGATGCTGTTAAGAAACCTATTTCTATTACTTTCTATTCTGTGAATCACAGCATTGAGATTCAATAAATATTTCTTGAGCATCCAGTATTCAAGAGTGAACCCCCAGTAACCAACCACCACCAGGAAAGTAACCGGGAGCCACACAGAACAGGGACTCACTCCATTCAGACCAGACAAAGCCACTCACAGGAGCACAGTCTGCTCCTTCTCGTCCCTTCTGCCAAGCCTCCTGGGGAGCAGAGGGGCCAAAAGATGGCAAGGAGAGAGCTAAACTCTTGCCATGAAAACTATACTATATACAGAGATTTAGCTTGACTAAGCTTGGAGTATAACTCCAAGACCAAGGGTTGGAGTAATATCCTAAAAAAGGAGAGAAAACAGTTCCAAGCCCAGATAACCCAACAAGATCAAGAAGGCCCCAGGAAGTTAAGGAGTGTTGGTCAAAAGAAAACTGTATTGCTCGGGGTGAACTGATAATGTCAATGTTTAAAAAAGGGTTCTGTTTAGATGGAACAAGTATAATTGGGTGGGAAAAAAGGAAAAATATGGTTGGGTGGAATTATGTATCTTAGAACTAAACTAGTAGAAGCTGGTGCCAATCTCAGCTCGTTGGTATGTTGAAGTCCTAACACCCAGCACCTGTGACTTGACCTTCCTTGGCAATGATTGTAATCAAGTTAACATGAGGTCACACCCATTTGGATAGGCCCTAGGCCAATGACTAGTGTCCTAATAAAAAGAGAAAACAGAGGCCCAGAGAGAATTCCCTGTTTAAGGGATGCTTCTAAGCTGAGAAACACTGAGGATTATCGGTAGCCACCACCAGAAGCTATGAAAAGACATGGAACAGATTCTCCCCTGCAGTCTTCAGAGAGAGCAGGTCCTGCTGACACCTTGATTTCAGACTACCCGCCAGTAGAAATGTGAGGGAATAAATTTCTGCCATTTAAAGTCTTGCAGTTTGTGGTCCTTTATGGCGGCCCTAGAAAATGAACACAGGGACCTTGGGCAGATGACTTGGTCAGTCTCAGTTTCTCACAAGCAAAAATGGGGAAGGTAAGAGCATTAACCAGCTATGGTTGTGGTGAAATAAGTGACATAAAGTACACAAAGCAGTTGTCACAGCGGTAACCACCAAGACAGGGGGTCACATGCTACCTCCCAAGACAACAGCCAGGGGAATCCCTGTTTTACCACTTCTCACACCAGCTTCCATACCCTGAAAGTCAACACACTTCTACTGCTCTTCCTCTTTGTGCCGAGTATGGCACCGGGGCTCTTCACACCACACCACGACCATCCCCTGAAAATGCACTGGAAACCATACAGCCCCACGCAAAAGCTATTGTCTCTGTTTGTGTGTGTGTCCCACAGAGAGCAGAGGCCATGCGCCAGCCAGCTGCTGCCCACTGGTGACGGCACATGCTGGTGCCAAATTACCAGGGGGAAGCCTTGTCCACCTGGCACCACTACCTCATGACAGGGCTTGGGGGTGCAGGTCAGAGAGAAGATCAGAGAGAAGCAGGGGAGGTGGGGAGCTGGGCCTGGGTGAAGGAGAGAGGGGCTTCTGGACGTGAGGGAAGGGAGAATGAGAAGGGAGTGGTTAGGAATTCCAGGAGGAAAGGCCCCATGCTTTTGCTAGGCTGCCACAACACAGCGCAACAGACTGTTGGCTTGAACCACTGACATTCATTTCCTCACATTTCTGGAGGCTGGAAGTCCAAGCTCGAGGTGTCAGCAGGGACGGTTTCCTTCCCAGGACTCTCTCCTGGACCAATCGGTGGCTGCCTTCTCTGCGTATCTTGCCTGTGCATGTCTAATCCTACTCTTCTCTTCTTAAAAGGACACCAGGCAGAGTAGGGCTCACCCGATGACCCCATTTAACCTTAATTACTTCTTGAAAGACCCCATCTCCAAATACAGCCACATTCTGAGGTACTGGGGGTTGGGGCTCCAACACATGAGCCAGGGAGGTGGGCTATTCAGCCCCTAACAGAGCTCTATGACTTCATAAAGCCCTGCTCTGTGCAGGCACTTTCACGTATACCCCCACACACTGAAAGTCCTCCGGGTCCTCAGACTGCCTGCCCTGACCTCCAGGCCTTTGCCATGCTGTCCCCTCCATCTGGAGCACCATCACCCCCATCAACACCGCCTCTTTCCCTGGGAGACACTGGTCATCTTTCAGGTCTCTGCTCACACATCACTTCCTTACCCACACCCCCCAACACTGGGTGAGCAGCCCCTCGCCAAGTTGCCAGAGCACCACAGGCTTTCTGTGCTGTGGTTCCTAACGTGCTCTTACAGTTCTGGTAATATCAGAAAAGCACCTGCCCAACACCTACAGAGTTCTCACAGGATGTCAGCTGCTATACGACTATCGTTCCACTCTAGGGCACAGGAACCAAAGGCCAAGGACCTGAGAGCCACAGGGTTCTTGCTCACTGCCATATTCCCAGCACCTAGAGCAATGCCCACTATTGCTGAATGAACAGGAGAACAAGAGAACAAATGAGGGAATGCTCACCACCGCCCTGCGGGAGTGACACCATCCCCATTTTACAGAAAGGAAGACTGGGATTTGCACTGGGGTCTGCTGGATCCCAGAGCCTACCCACCCTCACCAGTGCTCCCCTGAGGCTTACCCGGCCAGCACTCTGGCGAGAGAAGGCGTCCACCAGGGCCTCGACCCCATAGTCCACCAGCATGGAGGTGTTGAACAGGAACTGCTCATAGCTGTACTCCTGGGAGCCCACCTTGAAGGTGTCGGGCATGAGCGGGTGCCAGTGGTAGAGGTGGTTGAATTCCGTGGCGATGCGGTTGCGGTACTGGAACTGGGCGCTGAACAGCAGCTCCGGGTCAAACTTCAGCTGCAGGAAGTAGCCACTCAGCTGTTGCACATACTCCTCGATCACGATCTTGATGGTCTCCCCTGGGAGGGAGGATTGGGAAGCGGGTGAGAAGCACAGCGATGCAGCTCCCAGCTTCGGAAGCAGAGCAGTACGTGAAAAGTGCTGACTTTCCGCTCCTTCACTGTTGCTGTGGTGGTTTAATTTTCTTTGGCCACTTTCACTTTGTCTTCTGTAAGGGGGTAGGAAAATGAAACTTCCTGCCCAGATAGGACGGGAAACTTTCTGTCTCCGACGTCCCAGGACGGCAGCCACTCCCAGGGCTCCAAACAGAGGCTGTAGGCCCAGCTCAGCAGGCCAAGCAGAGGAAGTATCCCAGAGCTGGCTTTGTGGCCTTTGGGTGACCACCCTCCCACAGCCACCACAAGGGATGGGTAAGCAGAGGCTGACTTAACGCGGACTCACAGCGCGCCGACCCCCCTAGTGGTGGGAGGGCTTTGCAAAGGCCAGTCTGGGAGCTGCTGTGGACATGAAGTGAGCCCAGTCCCACATGTATTTCTTCCACATTCTCCCATCAGGATTCTTATGAACTGATTTTGCCTCCTCTGTAACCAGCTATGAAGCAAAGAGCCAGGGAAGAAACAAACCTAACATTCCATAACAACATGAAAACTGCTCAACCTGATACTGGTATTTTAGCTAATTAGCCATTCGCAAATTGATCTAGAGCCACTGGATCGATTTGCAATCAGCAGGCCTGGGCCCATATCCTGGCTTCAGCATTTCTAGCCACCTGACATTGGGCTGTGTTACGTATTTTCCTCCTTATCCGTAAAACGTGTACTCTAATAGCATCAGTAACATAACATTCACGGGGGTGTGGAGCCGGGCGGACAGCAGATGCTTGACACAGGGTCTGGCATAATAGGGTGTCAATACCCGTAGGCGAGAAGTAAGAAGTGCTAAGTGTAGGCATTGGGGACAAAGGATCCAGCTGAGCCTTGAACCCCCTCCCCACACTCAGGAGAGAGCGTCCTTGTGATACAGTGAAGTAGCAAGAACTTTGGTGGCCACCAGACTGGTTCAAGTCTCCCTCTGCTTAGTGGCCTTGGAGAATTCACTTAACATCTCTGAATCTAAATTTTCATACAAAGGTATTCGTGTCTGGACCATAAGGTCATTGGAGGTGGTAGATGAAGCACTAGATGTACAGATTCATCACCTGTGGTCACAGCTCCATCACCAGTCAGCATGCTGCACAGCCTCTAGCCACAGACCTGCCCTCTCTGGTCAAGTTCTCTGTAATTCTGGGACTTCAGAACCAACCCCTTCTCCTTTAGGCTCTTCCTATCCCCGAGAGGATATCTCTCCTAGACTCCAGTGAATCAGGCACTATAATTTGGCCCAGCCATGCCCAGTGATGCCCAGAGGCTGGTGACTCACTGGTGACAGTCTGGACAGGAGTATCAGAGGCCAAGCTCCCAGGCAGGAAACCATCTGACATTTTAGGCTGCAGACTCACCCCAGAGGGGACGCAAAAATATCCTGTCCTGAGTCACCCAGAAGCTACCAAACTCCGAGAGGGCAGATACACGCAGGGCAGGAAACATGAGGATTCCCAAAGTCTGGGCAAGCTAGGATTTGACCTTCACAGGCTCGGGATGTCATTGTGTGCATCTGGGGGCAGGATAGTGGGGCAACTGAGACATGGGGGGTGCTAACCAAATTTGCTGCAAGTCACCAGCTAATAATCAACCATCACAGTCATCCATTTTCTGAAGGTCATTCACTATCTCAACAAATCCTTAACCACCATCATTATCCCCAGTGGCCAGATTTGGAAGCTGAGGCTAACACAGGGGAAGGGGCCCTGCTCAAGGTCTCACAGTTAGTAAGCAGACGCCCTAGGATTCTAATCCCAGCTCTCTCCCCAAGCCCTCCACCCGCCTGCTTCTCAGGATGGAGGGTATGACCTTCCAGGCCAGGGTTGGTCTGGAGTCCTCACCGATGAGGATAAGGCGGGCTGTCTGGAAGAGCTGCTCATCGCCCCAGGTGGGGTGCTCAGCCTTCAGCAGGTCACACACGCGGTTGTGCTCACGCAGCCAGATCGTGGCATAGAGCATGAGCCCAGGCAGCAGCCCGAACACCTCCTGGCCCACGGCCATCTGGCTCTGCGGCGGGACGCCGTGTGGGTAGTGCATCAACACAGGCGCCTCTTCCACGGATGGCGGGTACATCTCTCCGTCCAGCACCTACAAGAGGGGGCCACCTGGCAACCTCGGGACGGAGCAGGGGGCCTGCCCCTGCCACAGCTGCCATGCCCCCTCCTCCTACCTGCAGCTGCCCCTACCTCGCAGGGCACCTGCCCACCCTCCCTAACCGAGGACTGTTGATTCTGCCTCCTAAACCCCTCTTTAAAAGGGGCCCTTCTACTTTATCCCCACTCCCACCCTCCAATTCCAGCCCACCCTCATCCTCCACCGTGACCCCTCTCCCAAGCGGCTCCCTCTGCCTACTCCGGCCCCCAAGCAGTCCGTCCCCAGCACCGCAGCCAGAGCAATCCTGCACAGACCCCAGATCTACTACCAGGCCCTCACTTAAGCCCCTTCCAAGTCCTCTCTGCTCCTGGCAGAAATCAGAAATCCTAAACGCATGTGCAGATGTCTCCCCCTCCCCTGCAGGCATTCATCCCTTCTCTCCCCCCATCCCTCCCTTCCTCCTGGTCCCTCAAGCTGCTCTCCCAGGCAGGGGCGCACTAACCTGGGAAGCCCTTTCCCCTTCCTGGCCTCCCTAACTCCTCCCGGTGCTGCTGCAACGGGGTGGGCTCCCAGCTTCCCAGGGAGGCCTTCTCCAGCCTCTGAGGGCTCCCCTGGCTTTTCCCTGGGGGCAGCTCTGCACTCAGTCAGGAGGTGTGTCCTGAGGGCCTACCATATGCCGAGGACTGTTCTCAGGCCTAGACACCCAGCAGTGAGCTTGTGTTGTGCCTTATGTTTGTTAAGGTTTGCACAGTTCTTGTGGAGGCCACTAGCCACTTGTGGCACAAATGCGACCGTGTGAATGAAGAACTGAATTTTTAATTCTTTTTAATTAGACTTACATGTTAAAACTGATACTTCAACCACTGGGAAATCTTTAAGTACACTCAGAATGACAGGAGCCCATGAATCTACTTTTTCAACTCTATTTTATGAAATTTAAACACAAATCAGGTATCTCGGATGAAAAATCTGGCATCCAAATTGAGATGCGCTCTGAGTATAAAACAGACATCAGATTTCGAAGATTTACCATGAAAACAAGAATGTGAGGTACTTTATTAGTAATTTTTGTACTGGTGACATGTCGAAGTGATAATATTCTGGACATATTGGGTTAAGTAAAATACACTGTTAAAATCAATTTTACCTGTTTCTTTTACCTTTTTTAAAGCAGCCACAAAAAAATTTAACTGCATATTTGGTAAGGGTTGTATTTCTACTGGACAGCACTAGTTCAGACAGAAAGTCCTCAAGGAACTGGCATCCTAATATTTATATCTGTGGTGCCAACGGGCTATGAGTTCCTGGAGGACAGAGCCCATTAGCTGTCACGGTCACTGCTCAGTCACTGGGGCCAGGCACATGGTAGTGCCCGATTAATATGGTGAAATAATTAAATGAACAAATGCAAACCGAGCTATCTGCTATGGAGCCCTCAAACCTACCTCCCAGGAAGGTAGGAAAGGCCAGGTCTGCTCCCGTCTGCTTCTCTTGCCTGGCACCTTCCCCAGGAGTTGCCGTCTCTCCTCCTTGCACTAGGCTCCAGCTCCTGCAGCTGGCCCTCCCAGGACACCACCCACGAGCCCCAACGGCTTCTGCAGGGTGAGACTCTGGCAGGCCCTGCCCACAGCCCCTTCCCCAAGCCCAGCACTACCTGGTACTTGAGTTTCCCATCCTTAAAGAGCCGCAGGTGATACTGACGTTCCAGATTATCTCCATAAATGTGGCCAAGGTCCACCTGAGGACAGAGAGAGGGTGCCTTCAGCTCCCGAGGTCCTGCCCCACCAGTAGTAACCTGCAAGTGCCAAATTAGGCCCTTCCTAGGTACTCACCCCATGGCCCAAGGCCTTGGTGAAGCCAGGGCCCATCTTGCCAGACGTTTTGAAGAACTGGTGGGTGAAGTGTTGTGCAAAGAAGGCAAACATCAGGTTGGTGCCTTGGGGGTCAGGTATAAACTTCCTCCTGAGCAGGAAACGGTGGCTCAGGAGCTGGGCATCTGGCAACTGCTTCTTCCCTGGTTGGGGAGAAGGGAAAAAACGGAGCTGCCTCCTGTCTGCATCTCCCTGTCGTAGGGCCTTCTGGGCTCACCAGACCAAACTGGTCCATGCAGGGAGCCAGAGCAGAACCACCTCCCTCCCACCAGGCAGCCCCTTGCAGCCTCTCTCCCAAAGACCCTAGAATTTATGGGTGAGACGACATGACACTTGAAATTTGCTTTGATATATTTCACAAAATGTAAAGTGAGAAGGGATAGGTCACAAATAAAACTGGCAAATTGCGGGCAAGTGTTAAGACTGAGAGATGGATACACAGGAGTTTGTTATACTCTCCTCTGGACATTTGGCTAACTGATTTGCTAACTGTGTGAACACAGATAAGTCATTTCATCTCTCTGAGGCCCAATTTCTTCATCTGTAAAATAGGACAAATGAGAGCTATTTTATGCAGTGGATGTGAGAAGTGTGTACTATAATGTGAACGTAACTGAGAATTGGTGAGCTGGAATCTTTTCAACCAACAGTCAGTCAACTTTTTCAGTAAAAGGTCAGATAGGCAATATTTTAGGCTTTGCCAACATACGGTCTCTGTCACATCTGCTCAGCTTTGCTCAGCCATAGATGATACATAAATGAATCTGACTGAGTTCCAATGAAACTGAATATACAGAAACAGCAGTGGGCTGGAGTTTGCCAACCTATTTTAAATGATGCCAGTCTTTCCGTGCCCAGGGTAAAGACAAGTCATCTTGAAGCAGGTGTCTGTTATTATGAAAATAAGTATTAAGAGTCTTTCTTAATTACGTCAGTGCCAGATGAGTTGGTACCCAAGGCCCTCACAGAAAGGAGTAACTGAATTTTCATGTTCTGGAAAAGACATCCTTTCATAATTCCTCATGTGAGGCTCAGTGTTGAAGGTTCAAGATCAATAGAACTTCTCTGGATTGAGATGTCCAGCTGGTTTCCTCTGCAGGCAAGGATATCAAGCACCCCAAAGGGAACTCACCAAAAGGGAGTTGGAGGGAATGGTCTGTACCCCAGGACCTGGTATCATCACTCAGATTGACACTGAGCAAGGACTGGTTTCTGCAAAGCGTGGGCAGGAAGTTCTGTGAGAGCCAGCTACCCTGGCAGAATGGTCATGCTTTGGAAATCAAGGCTAATCATGGGAGTGCAAACCATCAGAGAAGTACCCTTGAGACCTAAGCAAGGACGTCTAGGCATGTGCAAGGTTCTGAGCCTAGAAAAGCACACAACCGCAGGCCTGCAGAAGACCAGTGTTCAACAGGGACACCATGTGGCCAAAACAGAGGAGACAGCAGTGGTGGACCTGTCCTCTCGTCCTCTTTGTACTTGCAGCAGAACTGGTGGCTCTGAACTGAATAAGCCCCTGGCATTTTCGAATAATCAAGAATGGAATGGGAAGAAGGCTTTCGGAGGAAGACCCTTGCTAATGAGACCAAGTGGAGTGTTGGACAACTAAAGAATAACTATCTGAATTACTACGTGTAACCCACACTGAAGAAGTGTGTCAAACTATTCACATTAGTAAAGAACAAACACAGAGTTGCACTCAATAAATAGCACACTATTCCTTCCTTCCTACATTACAACTTTTAAGTCACCCCCATCCCAGCAGGACCCCACTGAAGGCTCAGGCAGAGGTGCCCTGGAAATTTGGAAACACTAGTCTGATTCTGCCACTGACTCTCTGGGTGTCTTCAGGCAATACCCTCACCACCCTTTCCTGTCCTTCTTCCTTATCCCTGGTCTGGGGATGGCCTTGTCTTGCCTTGGTCTATCCATCTGTGAAAAGGGTCAGTAATTGCTCTTCTGCCTGCTTTTACCCAGAGAAGAACTAGGCATCTCCTGGGATCCCCAGACACAGCTCCCTGACCCCATCGCCATTACCTTTGGTCCCCAGGGGCGTAGGGCAGTCTTGGGGCACGGAGGGCAGAACTCGAGTATAATAGCTCACATTGGAGAAGGACTCCCAGCTGATGTAGTCATATGCTAGGTTGTAGGTCGGGGGGCTGGGAATAAGTTGAGAACGTGCTGCAGAGGGCAAAAATATCAGTGAGAAGGGGGCTCCCACCTCCAGTGACACCCCCATCCCCGCCTCTTCTTGGACTGCACTTGTCTCATGTGGCTTCCTAAAGTCTCCCCACCCACTGCTCTTATTAGAAGCTAAGAATTCCAAGAACGGGCAGGATTCCTTATCCCCCCAGAGCAGGGGGCCTGCGCCCACCCACCTGTGAGCACCAGCCGCATGAGCAGGTCACGGATGAAGGTGGCGTTGATAAACTCCCAGAACCAGCGCCCGTGCGTCAGCAGGAAGTGGAGGAAGGAGGGACTGGGCCGCAGCGAATTCCGGAGCCAGGTCCATAGCTCGGCTGCAGGGGCGGGAGCCACTCAGTCAGGGCCTGCTGGCGGGACCAGAAGTAGCCAGGGTGGAAGACGGGAACTGGGGAGGACAGCCAGGAGGGACTGAGGCAGGACACCTCGGGCAGGTGAGGATGGACCCCTGGGAGTGATGATGCTCATCGGAGCCCAAAGCAGACCTGAGGACAGAGGCCAGCCCCAGGAGCGGGGTCGGGCTGAGCAGTGAGGGCACGGCAGAGCCCAGAACAAGGGCGTGAGGTGTGCCAGCAGGGCAAGCTTGTGCCGGAGCCGGGTCAGGGAGAGGGTCAGAGGCCAGAGACCAGGGCCACATCCGGAGACGAGGCGGGCAGGGGAGGTCTCAAGGCACAAGCCCAGGAGAGCAAGAGGGGCCCCGGTCAGAAGGAGTGGGAGCAGGGGGCTCAGCTCACGGACGGTGCAGTTGGGGCCAGAATAGCCCGTGCGGGTGCAGTCACACTGGTACTGGTCAAGACCGAAGCGGACACAGATACCCTGGTGCTGGCATGGGTAGTGACAACAGGGGTTCACTGTGGGAGAGAAGCAGAGATCAGAAACCACTCCAGGTGACCTCTTGGCCCCCATCCTGGGCCAGAGGCATGGACTCAAGTCACAGCTGCTTTCCCGTAAGGGCCCCATCTGTCCCTACAGCCAGGAGCAGAAGGCCCCCAGGCCTGCCCTTCCAGGCCCAGCTTTAGCTCTCCAGCCAAGCCCACATCGGGCCCCAGGGGAAGTCTCCCTCCTCCCTGCTGCCACCAAAGGAGGGCTGGGGAAGAGTCCGGACCCCAAGCTGTGACACCCCGGCTAGGAAACAGCTGATAAGATGCTGCAGCCACAGGCTTCTAGAGCATTCGCTTCCTGCCGAGTCAGAGCCCAGCACCAAGGGCAGGGTTTGTGGGGTTCAGAAGACGGGTGAGGATGGAGGGTCCTCTGACCAGCCCCCAAGCTCCAGGCACCTGGACACTAGGGAGACAAGCTTGCCCGTCATTGCTGTTTCTGTGGCAGTGGGAGAAGAGCGGGTACTGTAATGCCCACTGGCAGATGGGAAACGAAGCCAGATGGGGGGAAACCCACACAGGGCAACCAGCAACTCACACCAGATCTTGCCCATCATCGCTGTTTCTGTGGCAGTGGGGGAAGAGCAGGTACTGTAATGCCCACTGGCAGATGGGAAATGAAGCCAGATCGGGGGAAACCCACACAGGCCACCCAGCAAGTCACACCAGATCAACCGCCCATCCCTTCACTGCCACCCACCCCCACAGACTCGGCAATCAAGTCCAAAGAAGAAGTTCCCCTGACCTCTGCACGCAGAGCGTGGGTGTGAGGGGGTCTCACCGCCTCAGCTCTTGCTCCTGAGGGCCCCAGCCTTGGCCCACGTCAGGGTGGAGTCTGGGCTCTAGGGCCCGAGGTCAGGGCAAAGGTCAGGGACCAAGGGAACAGGGGAGATGTGGCTGGGAAAACCTCCTGAGGGCAAGGGGAGCTCTGGTATCAGCTCCTTCCCCCTGGAGAAACCCCGCTAGGAGGTCCCTCCTTGTGTGCAACCCAGAGCCTGCTGACCACAGTCCCCTTGCTCAGATCTGCATGGCTTCAGTGATCCTTCAACAGCAAAAGTAGAGACTCCTCAGGGCGTGTTCAACACAGCTCGGGGAGGGAAACTGAGGCTCAGGGAGAGGGAGCAGCCTCGCCAAGGACAGAGAATGGAGCAGGGCCTCCTGCAGACCCAGGACTCTGGCCCTTCCCTGGTCTCACAAACAAAATGCCAGGCAAGCATACTTCCTGATCTGGACTCAGAGCCCACATCACTGGGAATGAATTCTTTGTGTAGATGACCGTCGGGGGTAAAGAGGGTAGCTACTGCAGGTCAGGCGTGGGAACTCATCTTAGGTGCTGGGCACACTGGGCATGAACCTGGACAAGGCCTGACCCCTCTAGTCTCAGCCTTTACACAGCATGGGGCCTGGGTATCAGGGTCCTCCTGGCCCCAGCCCCACCACACACACACATACACACGCACACATGCACACACACACAGGCAAGGAAGAAGAGAATCACAAGAATCATGCAAATAGTTTTGCCTAAGTTCTGGCAACTCCTCACAGCCCCACAATAGCATCTTTGTGGCCCCTGCAGGGGTACAGGAGGGTGGGGCCAACAGGAAGGAGGCTAGACAAACAGGGCTTATCAGGCTGACCCAGGCAGACCGGCACACAGGACCCAGCCTCCCCTCCCACAGCCACTGGCCCAGAAATGCCAGGGAGCCTGGGAACCATCCCCACAGCCGGCTCAGGGACCCAGAGCTCTCTTCGATGACCTCTGCTGTTCAGGGCACTTGCTTGCCTATGTGATTCACCTTCCGGGCAGCCCTAGAGGCACCCCCTGCCCCACTGCCCAGCTTCCGACCCTGGCACACAGTCCCTCTATCAGTGACAGGTCAGTCCTGCTGTTCAGCGGACACAGGGGCTAAAGCCCAGGCCTGCTCTAGGCTGTTTCCCCATCCCTACCCCAGCTGGGATCCTAACGGATCTCAAGAGGCCCTTCCAGCTCATTTGATGGCAGCCCCATCCCTTAGCCCCTAAGCCAAAAGTCTTCCTTTTCTCAGACAGCTGCTCTTCCCCTAACAAATTCCCCCCATCTCCCTGACTCATCTCACTGATCCTGTGCCTGGCCTCCACCAGAAAGCCTCCCTAAGTGTCCCGCATCTGGCTTCATGCTCCATCTCAACCTGCTCGTCTCCGCTGAAAGTCCCAAAGAGAGGGGCCACACCTTCCTGACTTTCTCCTCCCTAACACAGGCTGTGCACACAGCTGGGGCTCAACCCAAGCCCTGGAGAGATCCAGCCGCCTAGGGGATCGAGATACGGATCAACAAATGTTTGTGTAATTAATAAAATGCGGTGAGGAGCCTGGCCACTCCGAGCGTGGCCCTCATCTTCCCAGCCATCAGCAGCCGGCTCCTAAGCCTAGCTGGAGGCTTCCCGCTGCAGCCGGTGAGTCCTGCCCCAGCAGGCAGCGGAGCTGTGCGCATCTCTCTCCTGCCAAGAGACGCTGTGTGCGGAGCAAGCACAGGCTCCTCCCTCCCAGACCCGCTGTCCAACTCTCCCTCCCTCCTCCATGATCTTTCCATAAACACCAGCTGCCCCAGGGCAGGAAAAGTTCTCCCAGGCAAGGGTAACAGCTGCTTCTGGGCCCCAGGGTGTCAGGGTGGGCAGAGAGATGAGTCTCCCCTGAAGGGGCTGTCATGGCCTCAGGGTGGGGCAGGGGGAGCCAGAGCTCTAGCTGCCCACTCCACAGCCTTGCAGACCTACCACTCCATTGGCTGTGCAGCACTCCCTTCAGGGGTGGGGGAGACTAGCCGTGACACAGACGAGGAATGCATGGCACGGAAGGCAAGAGACGCACCCAAGCCCCACTGCTTCGAAGGTGCACATCCAAGACTTGGACTCCCTTCTCTTCCTCTCCCTTCTTCCTCCTCCTGGAGGCTCCCAGGCCTGCATTTGGGGAAGGGATGGGGAGGGAGAGTCCCTTTGATACACAGGTTGGGAATGACCCCAGGTGAGGTAGGTTTGTCTCCCGTCCTTTGAGGCGGACATGCAAATCCTAAATGAATGAAGCCAGGGCCTCAGAGGGATCACCATCCCCTGCTAAAGAGCTCTGGGAACTATTCACAGAGAAAGGCCTTCCTTCAGTCTAACTTACACCCTGCATGCTTTCATACCAGCCCAGTTCTGTGCTCACGGAGGACACGCTATACCATAAACCATCAAGGAAGAGAACCAGGGAGATGCAGGCACTGAATCTAATTCATCTTGAGTTCCTGCACCCAGAACAGGGCCAGGCACCCAAGCGGATGTTGGGAAAAGATGTATCAGAGAGTGGCTGCTCTTTGCTGGCTGTGGATCCTTGGGCAAGTCCCTTCCACCCTCCGGTGTTTTTCTGTGTATCCCAGGGAGGCGATGGGGGCAGATGGGCTCTCGGGAGGCCTCTTTCTGCATCCTGTTCTAGTCTGGGTGCGGCCAGTCTGTCTCCAATATCGCCTTTATTTGCATCAGTTTGACTCCCCACCCCACCTGTGGAGAACCCGCAACTTGCCCTCAGTGTCCTCAAGCCGCCCCAGAGGCAGGCCCAGGCCGTACTACTCGCATTCCCACAGACCAGGACTGTCCAGGACTGCCTGGCTCCAGAACTTTCTAGGGATTCAGGTAAGGAAATGTGCCCCCATCCAGGAGTCAGGGCTCTGGGCACAGTGGGGAACACCAAGTGCCCCAGGATGTGGAGGCAAGAGGAAGCAAGAGGGCCAGTTAAAGAGGCTGGACCAAAGATCTCCCTAAGAATAATATTTAAAGAAGCTCCAGAGGCTTGGCAGTTAAAGGGGAAAAAAGGGCCCTGACTAGTAAGAACTGGGCCCCAGCCCCTGCACCCAGCTGGGCCGGCAGCCAGAGGCCAGGCACCGCCACCCCAGACCCTGACAGCTGGGTCCACAGCTGGGAGAGCACAGCTGGAGAGGAAGCCCCCTCCCAGCCCACAGACCCAGCAGGTGCTGCAGATAGGAGGCGGCAGGCGGGAGGCCCTGGCACAGGCTGGGTGTCTGCCCCATGTGCCAGCGTTAACTGGCCTCGGGCCTCTCTGCCTGGCAAGAAGCTCTAGTTGCCGGGTCATGCCCTAGCCCTAGCCAAGGAGAGAGCACTAAGCCAAGTCCAGGGGTTGGAGGGCATGAAATTGAGCATTAAGGATCGTCGGGCACAGCCTTGCCCTCAAAGCCAGACTCCGTCTCTTGCCCTACACTAGAGGAGGAAGCAACATTCTCCCCTGCCACCTACCTCCTGCCTTCAGGTGGGTCTGTAGCCCTCATCTCCCAGGGGAGGGCCTTTGCGCCTTTGCCACATCTCTGTGGGCAAAACACAGGCTCTGGTTTGTGGAGCAGATGTGCAGGCATCCTGGACCTCAGTTCACTCAGAGCCTCAGGAGTGCTAAGTACTGCCTCCGCCCCTGCACCCGACTTGCCATCCATTTTCCCCTCGGCCCTTACAGCAGCCTCCTGAATAGTTTCCTGGCCTCCAGTCTCACCCCAAGTCCCCCCAGTCAGCCTCAGGCCCAGGTCTGCCCCCTGACCCTGCGTCAAAGGCCTTTGCCAGCCAGCACCTGCCTCTCGTCCTAGAGCTTCCTGGGCCTCCATCTGCCTCCCGCGGTGCAGGAGTCTAGGCTTCAGAGCCTGCATTGCTTCTGTCAGAAAGACCCTCGGAGTTTCACAGTAACATCTCACAGCACTTCCGCCCACTCACCTCCTCCTTCAGCATCCAGGTGGAACGTCACCACTTACAAGAAGCCTCCTGGGAACTGCTTCCTCCCCTGCACCCTGCACACCCCTGTGCATCCCTCAGTCATAGATGTGACCCTTTTGGATGACAGGCTGTTGGCATTTCTGTCTCCGGGTCAGTCTGTGAGCGACTCCCAGCTGTCTCCAGGCTCCAGCCAAAGGATAGCCCAAAGCAAGCCCTTGGGAATTGTTTGCGGAGTGGAAGAAAACAAGTGCCTTTAAACACTTTTGATATAAAGATAAGCAAAAAAGGCACAGGCTGTGGCCTACCGGGTGTCAGTGAGCAGACACAGGAAGGCAGGCGGGGTGGGCCCTGGGGGCCCTGGGGGCCTGGATGGGGCCACCAGAGGCCTCCGAGGAAGTGCTGTGCTGCTCCAGGGGCTGGCAAGGCGGGTCCCTGGGGCAGCCTGGTGAGCCCCAGCTCCGCTGCCAGGGTCTCAGACAGACGAGCCAAGCCCCTGGGCCTGAGCCCCCTTCTGTGGACTGGGTCTAACACAGCTCCCTGGCAGGGCTGCCACGAGCCCCAGGGAAGTGGCTCCGCACAGCTGGGCCTTACAAACCGTAAAATGCTGGCCCCCTGAGTCGTCCTCTTCTTCCCACGAACTAGGCCCTTGCTCGTACCCACGTGCTGCCCGGAGCGCCCCCCATCCTCTCCCTGGCTTCTGTGAGTGCCACCGACTCAAACCTTGCCCTCCGGGACACTTTAGATTCGCTGTCCACATAGACATCTTTCTCCGTCCTCTGAGCACCAAATCTCTAGAGCATCACAACAGGAAGGTCAGACCCCCTCGCCCACTCCCTTCCTCTCTTGCTCCCATTTAACAGATGGGAAATGGAGACCCAGAGAAGGATGGATCACACAACCAGGTGGAGGAAGCTCTGTCCATGCCTTTTACACACACACACACACACACACGTGCGCACAAGCACACACAGAAGCAGTGAGCCAGAGGGTAGAGGAGCTGAATTCCTTCACCTGGAACGTGGCGGGCAAGGGTGGTGGAATTTTACAGAATCTGACCTTTCCCATCATCTTCCTGGTGATGAAACCAGGGTACATGGGGTAGGGGTGGGAGGAGGCAGAAAGGCCTCTCTGTGGAAAGACCTCGCCAAGTGCCTGGAGTCAGACACATCCAAGTTCAAACCCTGAGCCCCCCACGCGCCGTGTGAGCTTAAGGGAGTAAAGGCACCCACCTACCTACCTACCTGAGCCGCGGGGAACTGCTCTGCCCAGGAGCGAGCGACCGCAGAGGGGAAGGTTTAAGCCTCAGGGGAGGCAGCCCAGCTCCGGAAAAGCATTTCCACCCCCCGTCTTCCCAGAATGGCTGGTGTACCCGGGGTCCTCACCCAGGGAGATTTCCACAGGGGCTGAGGGTCCGGACTGGACAAGGTTAGAGGCCGGCCAAAGCCAGCCCGCTTTGCCCCCGGCGCCGCCTGCTCCCTCCGAAAGAGGCCCCCCGAGGAAACAGCGGAGCTCCCGGGGACGGAGGCTTGGACAGCTGGGGGCCCAGGACAGGTGAGGGGGCTGCAGAGGGGATGGCCCTTGTCCCCAGGCCGGCCCGGGATCCACTCGGCCACTGCCCCAGAAAAGAACCCGGCGGCGCCCCCGCCCAGGCCACCCCAGGGGGTCGTCGGGGAGCCCCCGTCCCACCCCCAGCCTCCGCCCCCGCCCCCGCCTCCCGGGCATCTTGGTCAGAAAGGGGAAGCTCGGCCGGCCGGAGGGGCGGGGAGCGCCGGCCGGGCCGCGGGCGGGTCTCCCGGGGGCCGAAGGGGCCGCCTACCCGGCGCCGGCGCCCGGGGCTCCGCGGGCAGCACCCGGGGCAGCAGCAAGAGGAGCAGCGGGACTCGGAGCCAGAGACACCGCCCTGCAGAGGGAGAGAGGGCCGGGCTGAGGCTGGCGTTCAAGGCTCTACGCGGCGGCACAGACATTCGTGGGGGGTCCCGGCCAGACTCACGGCTCATGGCGCCAGGAGGCTGGAGGGTGCGGGATCCAGACTGCCGGCCCCTTGGGTGCGTCTTTGCGCCGGAGCTCGGCCCGCCCCTCCCCACCCATTCCCCGGCTCCACCTCTCCAGCCATCTGTCACCTCGGCTGCTGCCCACTTCCTCTGCTCCCGTCCCAGCCAAGAACTGTATTAATTATTCTATGATTGCCACTAGGCGATGCTAAGCTGTTCACCCAAGACCCCCGAGGCACTTGAGCTTTCAAAGCCAGAGGGCGCCAGAATTGTGTCCATTTGGTAGACAGGAAACTGAGGCCCAGAGATGATGTGGTCATCCAGGGCCTGAGGTCACCCAGGGCTCCGGGGGCGACCTGAGAGCGTCTCAGGCCAGAAGGGCTGGTCTACCACACACCCATCCCCCCCGACAGGAAAGGGGGGCTGAAAGGGGCAGTGGAGGCTGGCCTGCACTTAGTCTCCTGGATGGGAAGCCCACTGCCCTCAGACAGATCCAACAGGAGGGATTGGCTTCCCCAGGGGCCGCCTCGGCCCTCTGAGGCCACGGGGTCTGTCTGAGCCTCTACTTCCAGAAACCCAGAGCACAGGCTCCCAGTCCAGGAGACCCAAGTACAGATCCAAACTGCAGCCTTCTAGCTGTGTCACCTCAGATCTGATACGCTCTGGTCCTCAGTATTATCATCTATAAAAGGGGCAGAATAATAAGACCCAACTCAGAGCACTGTTATAAAATTTGATGAGATAATGCACATAAATCTCTTGATGCAGTGCCTAGCATATAGCAGGTGCTTGGTTGTCAGGAGGTGTTTGTTTTAAAATCTCCCAAACTGAGATTCCAGAGCTGGCCAGGGGGATCACTCTAGCTGGACTCACGTCTACCTGCCAACTTTACAAAAGCACAGCATCCAGGTCCTCTTTCACAGCTGGGGAAACTGATCCTAGTGGAGGGGGGTGTAGGTCACACAGTCACCGGTCCCCACACCCACAGGTTCTCCCCCTCGGTTTCCCCAGCACACCCACCATCCTGTGGGCCCCACATCAGGGAGGCCTGGAGGAAGGGCTCAGAGGCCCTGTACCAGCTTCTAGGCATCCTTGGGTGCAGGGTGGGAACCATGCCAGGGGAGAGAGGTGAGACCTGTTGGGAAGCCCCTCCCATGTCCCCACCTGAGCTGTTCCCATGCTCCACTGGGACAAAAGCCAGCTGCCCCAGGGAGACAGAGCAAGCCAGGGCAGACCTGGGGAGGGAGAAGTACAGGGGGAGGGCCTGGGGCCCTGGGGTGCTGGACAGTCCTCAGCCTCCCCAACAACTCCAGATCCAGGGCCCCCTGGTAGCTACCCAGACAGGGGAGGAGACATAAATCATGAATTATTGACCAAAAGGAAGGGGTCAGAGATTTGGGGGTCCAGGTACCCAAAGAAAAGAGGACTTCCTTTTTTTTAAATTTTTTATTAAAGTATCACTGATACACTCTTATGAAGGTTTCACATGAAAAACACTGTGGTTACTACTTTCACCCATATTATCAAGTCCCCCCACACACCTCATTAAAGTCACTGTCCATCAGTGTAGTAAGATGCCAGAGTCACTACTTGTCATCTCTGTGCTACACTGTTTTCCCTGTGACCACCCCCACCCCACCCACACCACGTGTACCAATCAAAATACCCCTCAATTCCCTTCTCTCTCCCTCCTCACCCACCCTTCCCCACCCTTCCCCTTTGGTAACCACTAATCCCTTCTTGGAGTCTGTAAGTCTGCTGCTGTTTTGTCCATTCAGTTTTTGCTTTGTTGTTTTACTCCACAAATGAGGGAAATCATTTGGTACTTGTCTTTCTCCTCCTGGCTTATTTCACAGAGCATAATGTCCTCCAGCTCCATCCATGTTGTTGGAAATGGTAGGATTTGTTTTCTTCTTATGGCTGAATAATATTCCATTGGGTATATGTACCACATCTTCTTTATCCATTCATCTACTGATGTACACTTAGGCTGCTTCCATATCTTGGCTATTGTAAAAAGTGCTGCGATAAACATAGGGGTGCATCTGTCTCTTTGAATCTGAGATCATTTTTCCTTAGGGTAAATTCCTAGGAATGGAATTCCTGGGTCAAATGGTATTTCTATTTTTAGTTTTTTTTGAGAGGAACCTCCATGCTGCTTTCCACAATGGTTGAACTAATTTACATTCCCACCAGCAGTATAGGAGGGTTCCCCTTTTTCCGAATCCTCACCAGCATTTGTTGTTCCTTGTTTTTTTGATGTTGGCCATCCTAACTGGTATAAAGTCATACCGGTTGTGGTTTTAATTTGCATTTCCCTTATAATTAACAATGAGGAGCATCTTTTCATATGCCTATTGGCCATCTGAATTTCTTCTTTGGAGAAGTGTCTGTTCATATCCTCTGAAGAAAAGGGGACTTTCTGATGATGAAGAAAGGTGAGAAGAGCTTGAAGGAAGCCCCACTTCCATTCCCAGGTGTCCTCTCCCTTCGGGCCCTGTGCTCAGCAAGTTACCACATCTGTACCTCCTGCCAGCTTCTTACTCCCAAACCACCCACCCAAATTGTTTGTTCCTGTACTCAAAGGAACAAACACCTGTGTGATCCTGGCATTGAGAGAAAGAACCTTAGGCTGGGAGTCAGGAGAACTGAGTTCAAGTCTCAGTTCTGCCAGATGTGACGTTAGACAAGACTGCGCCTCTCCAGGCCTCCGGTTCCGCATCTGAACAATGTAAACACAAATCAGATGGCCTCTGAGAATAGGTCCGTTGTGGAGTGACTGAGCTCTTGCTGTGGCCCCGCCTTGTAACCGGCACTGGAGATCTCAAGACAGATGCAATGACAGGGAGGCCGGAGGTGAGATGGCAGACAAGGAGCCCGCACGGTTCTCCAGGGAAGGTAGGTGGGGGAGGGAGGGGAGAGAAATGGTGGCAGAAGGTATGCCAAGCCTCGGTGACCGACTGGCACTGGGGCTTTGGAGATGCTGAGAAGGACACCTAGGTTTCTGGCTTGATGCTAGCGATAGTCCCCAGGGAAGGAACCAGGGAGGAAAAGACGGCTGCGGTAAGTGACATTCGAATTGGGATTCCTTGTGCTTGGCCCGCCTTAGCGGCAGGGTGGCCTGTAGGGATATGCAAGGGGGAGGTCTGGGCTAGTCCTTGCCGCAGCCCTGGGACACGGCCGCAGCCCAGGGTCCCCTGCCCCTGCCCCTCCACTCCCAAGCCTAGCGCCTCGACATCCAGGGAGTTTTCCTAATTTTCAGGATGGTGAACTTCCCCTCCTGGGACAAGGCCCAGCTCAGCGCTCCTGGTGCTCCTCCTCCTCCTCTCTGTCCTCAGGAAACTCCTGCGTCTGCCCTGATCCCAGCAGGACGCACACTAGTCTGTGTGTCCCTCTGTCTCTCCCTGGCTGGGAGCCTCTGGGTCCCTTTTCCATGCGAAAGGCCGAGCATAGGTTCTGGAATATAGGATCTGTGTGGCAAATGTTGGTTGATTAAGTAAAGAAATGAATGAATGTTTGAGTGATTAAATATGTGAAAACATTCAGACCTTCCACGAGTGAGTGAGGGTCCAGGGCCAAACTCATCAGGGTGATGGCCAACCCACCCAGCTGCTGTCACCTCCACCGAAGCGTGAGTCCCTGTCTCGGTTTTTCTGTCTTCCCCAGCCGGGCCCATTGGCCAACACCCCCAACGTGCTTATGCGGCCGTTCCACCCAGGCCCCAAGTGCCTCCCAGCCAAGGTGGCAAGGACTTCCCACTCCCTTCTTCCCTCGTCTCTGTACCCCACTGGTGACATGGGGTGGGGTTTCTCTCTCTGCATACGCCCACCCCTGGCTCCAAACCAATCATAAGCCCTCCTGGCATACTTACCGGAGGCCCTCTCTGGGTCTGAATTTTAATGCCCCTGGAGAACTCTCCCCGGGCTGGGTCCCACCCACTGTTTGGAAATCTGGAGCTGACTCTTACCTGAATCACTCAGGGACCCAGCCCCACCCAGCCCCACCTCTGAAGGCTGCTTCACAGGCAGGCAGGAAAGCTCTGGAATCAACCCAATATCTCTTCAAATCCCCTACCCCAACTCCTGAACCAGTGCTCAGTGTGACCTCAGGCAGCCAACTGCCCCTCTTGGGCCCCAGTTTCCCCTCTATAACATGGGATTAAGAATTCTATTCTTGCAAGAGTTACATAAGAAAAGAAATGAGATGGTGAGATGGTCTGTATGATCACGCCCAGCTTCCGGTAGGACTCTTGAATGTTAATTCTTTAACTGCTCTCCCAACCTGAGCAAGAGGGCTTCATGCAAAGTTCCCATCCTCCTCCTCTTTACCTACTCAGTGCCAGGCTACAGCTGGGCATTGGTGGTGGTGACAGGAACTGCTAATGTTTCTCGAGTATCTACTCCATGGCAGGCAGTGTTTCATATTTTACATGTGCTATCACATGTTTCTCACCAGCCCTATAAAGTGCCATCACCTCCATTTTACAGAGAAAGAAATCAAGGCCCAGAGAGCTGAACTGACGTGCCCTAAATTGCACAGCTAGTAAGGATTCAGTTTCCAGGCCCAATCTCTTTGTTCTGGAATACCAGGTAACATGTGCCCAAGCCCCAGCATAGCCAGCCAGTACTGAGAGTTAGTTAAGAGGAAACAGCTAAGCAGTGTTGTGATGAGAATGCAAAGTCCGATTTAGGTAACATAGTTCATTGGAAAAGCTAAGAATGGAATCACAAAACGTTTTTACATCCCCTTCTCATAGAAATTGTCACAAAGCTCCAAGAGGAAGGTACTGTTATCTGCATTATGCAAAAGAGGAAATGGCAGCACAAAGATTTTCCTAGATTGTCAGGTGGGACACTTGCGACGTAGCCAGCCGACACACTGCTAAGGGCTTTGGTGCATCATGCCCTCTCTAACTCGTACTAGCTCCGTGAGAAGGGTTTTCTTCTTGTCCCATGTTTGTAAACAGGAAAACGGAGTTGGTAAAGGCCACAGG